TCTCTCTCTCTCTCTCTCTTTGTTTCTGTCTCTTTCTTAAGTATTACATTGTAATACTATTCAGGAAAAAAAAATTACAAGAACCCTTAGAAGACCATAGTTTTGAAGGCCTAAGGATGCCAAATGATATGTTTTCTTAGAATGAATTCTATTAAGCCAGGCATATGTGATTTCTTTTTATTACTATTGTCATTGAGTACAGTACACTGTCATGTCAATCTTAGTTGGAGTGATTATATCATTGTCTTTGAAAATTATGCATTTTCTCTAGCCACTTCACCTACAATAGAAGTATAATACTGAGTTGTTCTGTTTTCCGCAGAGAAAGCAACCATGTCGAAGCCGAGTGCACCTCCGTTCAGTGAGCCCCCTCCATATGCTCCGCCCAGCTACTCTCAAGCAGTTGGCGGAGTTCCACCACAGGCACCCTTCACACCCATGCAAGGTATTACATGTTTTGTGTTTTTAGTATTGTTAGTGCATAGCTTTGTTTGAAATAATGGTGTTGGAGCAAACTGGTGTGCTGGAGGGTTGATATTATTGTACCTATTCTTTGAAATGTCCTTTTGTGAGTGAAGCCCTTGTAATGATATTTATCTTTGCAAATTTTGTTAAAGTGAGGAGGTGGAGTCTTGGTAAAGATGTTCTTTATGTTATAGAAAAACAGTGTTATTTGTTGAAATATCTGTTGTATCTGATACTAAAGAGCTCACTAAAACGGATTCAGTATCGACGGAAGAATAATTGCAATAGCTTATAACAATATGGGTAGTATACCTATAGATATTTCTGTGATGTTGAGTTTCTGTGTTTTGGTTTGATGACTGCATAATGTCAAGTGTTTGAAGTGAGTAAGAGGAAACAGATGGATTTAAGGAGATGGCAAGAGAATATATATTTTTTTCTTTCTTCCATTTTAATACACTTGGCATGATTTGGTTGAGAGACTTTAGCAGAGAAGAATCACCTAAACCTTTTATTTTGTTATCTATATCACATTGTTGTTACAGCATCAATGCTCTTTGATACCTTACATGCTTTCACCTCTTTGTATATATGTACATACTTGACAGAGTGTGGCAAAATTTGTCAAAAAAGTGTCCAACGTATCTTTTACAAATATGCAGTAAGAATAGTTTGAGTTTGAATAATTGTGCATTACCATAGATTCTCCAAATATGTTTTTTATCCCTTCCTGTTTGCAGAGGAAGCTCTGGACACTGCCATTTTTTAGGAGTCATTTTCTTTCCTATGTAGTAATCAACTTATTTCAACTGTCTTACCTGTTGTTAAAGTATAAAAAGATGTGTTTTATATAAATGTTGTTATATAGCTATCTCTGATAAGGACCAAGGATATAAAAAGCAGTATTAAAGAATCCAAATGATGTATACATATAGAATTCTTTTCATAGAGATTTTACGACTTTTTCTTTTTTTGGCTTTTCCTAAGAGTAAAAAATGCATGAAAAATTATTTTATTTTTAATTCTTTGTAAAAATTCAAAGAAAATGTTTAGCTATATAAGATTCCCCCCCCCCCCCTTTGGATGTAGTCTCTGTGCAGTTTGTGTGTACAAGGGGGAAAAGCTGTGTTTATTATATATTTGGCTGTGCATTAGTGTTTACTGTCAGATATGCAAGTAGTACAAAACAACTTGCCTAGGATCATTTGTTGAGAACTGAGTTACAATTACAGTTGAGGTATATAAGGGTCCTGTAGCATGATTGCTCTCCATCCATAGGTTATGAGTACATCTTTCAAAAAGCAGCAGCATTCTCATATGTCCCTAGCTGCTTTCTCAGAATGAAGAACCCTTAACCTTAATTTCTCCAAACTACTTTAGTGTGTTTTCATAGATTGTGATGATAAAAGACAGATTGAGAAGGAGAGACAGAAATTAGATGGCAATGAACGGTAATGGTAATGTTGACAATAATCATAAAGATATAATGATTTGTAATAATGATATTAGTACCACAGATGCATTAGTTGTTGCTGTAACTATCCTGCAGAGATTTAACATGTGTTGGATTGCTTTTCAAGAAAGTTTTTGAATTCCAACACTATTAATTAATGGAATATATGTTTACACATTAGTTTTCAAAACTTGCAAGCTCTAAAGAAAGAAAAATATAAAGTAGAATGTAGCATAGTATAATCATCTCTCTCAATGAAACTTAGATGTAAATATTTTTGTCTAAATGTATATGTTGCTGTGTGTTTGATTATATGTTTGAATATACATTTATTTGACTAAACTTTTTGATTATGCACCAGAATCACAGAATACTTTGGAATATGTTCTGTTACTCTGTGAAGCACATTTATCTAACCTTTTATGATACTTAGGTTGCACACATACAAAAATCAGATTTACTACATAGCTCATTGGCTGTCATTGGGTTAATCCAAACTCCAATTGCTCTTAAACATTTCTTTGAACCAAATGACCGCGCGCATATCATATCCTGACAGCCCAGTGACACTCGAAGGGCTAATCACTCAGCCAGCCGCAATACCACTTGATATACAAATGACCTTTTTGTGAACATGTAATAGGCGTGGTGCGAGGTTTGGAAGTGCCAGATGCTTGCACTTTAATCCCGAGACACGGTGGATAAAGAAGGAGGGATGCTGTGTTGGAAAGCTCCTTCAAGGAAGAGCAAAATCATGTTTAATGTTGTGATGTAATGAGGTAAAAGTGTTGAATTAGTCTGTGTATTATCACAAAGTTTAAAATCTCAGTGGAGCATTGTATTGGACGTATTACTGTGATGGGTGAACATTACTGCCTGTTATTGGGAATATTTGGGAATTCTCTGTGTTTCTGCTTTGAGAAATTAATCTGAGGATTATTTTTAGTTGGGATATTTGTGCTTTTTGGGATTTGATTTTAGGACTGTATTGTGTGTATATGGGAAAAATTGATTGAAAACAATTGAGTGATTGACAATGAATGAGTGATCTAAGTTGGGTGAGTGAGTAGGTGATTGAGTGAGTAATGGAGAATGAGTAAGTGATTGAGATTAACCTATTGAGAGTGAGTGAATGAGTGAGAGGGGAGAGAGAGGGGAGAGAGAGGGGA